AACTACATCCACATCTGCATCATCCCTGTCACAGAAGAGCTCAGTGGCTCACCTCTCCTCCCCCAAGGCCACCTCTGATACAGGAAATGGACAACACTTTCCTAAAGCCTCCTCTCTCTTAAAAAAATTAAATGCACTATTGTTTTATTAGACCTCATTGTGGTCAAATACATTTGCCAAGTCTCAGGTCTTTAAATAGATTTTTACTGAACCAAGCAGTTTCAACCAGCCCATTTTCTGAATGATATATTGAGCAGCACCAAACAATAGAAGTCACAACTTTCAGTTCCTGTCTGCTTTTAGAGCAGACATTTAATGTAATTCAGATTTCTATCACTTAACTAGGCCTTAGTCTATGACAAGTCTTTAGTGCTTAAGCTTATTAATTTCCTTTTACAATATGTCACAGATTTTTATCTGGTTTTTGAGAAGACAATTCTCTAAATAATTCCTCTTTATTTCTTTATTGTGGAATATTATTAGAATATTCAAAAGTTCTTAATGTGCTTGTTCTTAAAACTAGTACAACTTCTCCCAAATACAGGTTTCACGTCTATGTCCCTCTAGGTGTAATGTAGTACCAAGTAGTACCACAGCAATAAAATTCAGTTTGCTATACTGCATTTCACAACATCACTGCCAAGGTTAAAAACAGCTAGCCAGTATCTAGACTAGTTCCCTTGTGTAGGAAACTCTGTGAATCTAAGACACACATTCTTCCTCCAAAGCCAAAAGACAAATGACCCCCTCCCTCCAGCTCTGCTCCTCTCAACTTTGGCAGACACTAGTTTAAATGAATTCTGCAATTGACTGCTTCAAGAGTTGAACAATTTTATAGCCAGACCACCCAGCTTAAACACAAACCTCATTATGGCATTTCCTGCCCTTTTCCTTTCCACAATCCATCACTTTAAACACCAAACATGAGAAGTACAACTAAGTGAGAAGATCAATGCTCTCCTCCTTCTTTTGATATGAAAAAAAATCTGCATTTCTTTTCCTTTACTCTGTTCTTATTTCCCAGAATCTTCCCACTTTTGCTAAATATTGATAGCATCTGTAATTTGAAGACTGAACAATCAGTTTCTGTTATGCCTTTGAACGTGCACAGAGATGCACTCAGATACACGATGATGATGAGCATGTTGAGAGATGCTATCAGTTGTAAGCAAATTTCTCAACTGCAAATAGCATAAGACTCTGAGGGCCAGGGATGACCGCTCCTAAGACAATTCCAGCAGCTTTGTTCTTGTTCAATAACCAGCTGTAGGAGAAAGTTCTAAGGAAGGAGAAAGGAGACTGCTGGTGTTCACAGCATTTGCAGTGGAGCTGGAAGGGTGGCAAACCAGCAGCAAGAAACTATAGATTTGTTGCAGAATGAACCTGTTATTGCTGCTGGAACAGCATGGATAAGCAATGAGTATCATCATGCTCATAGCTGTGAGGAATAAGGGCACACTATTTCTGTCAACTTCAGATCATTTATACTCCTGACACTGTCAGACCTCTCTAAATATTACTTTTCAGTCTGCCTTCAGATTTTGTAAAGCACAGTCCACAAACTCCGCAAACAGATGCAGTAAGTTCAGGGCAAATGGTACTCATTATTTTGTGCTATTATCATTGTAAGCATAATGAGATAGTCCCTTGATACTACCGCACAGTCTGGAGTTGCTGAGCAACCCATTTCCGTTATGCCTTTAAACACCCACTAGTTGTGAGGTGACTACAGGCCAATAAGCAGGGTTCACATGTGCAAGACGTTTCAAGCTATGGGGATGATTACACCTCTACAGCAACTACTGCATCTGTCTACAGTAGAAAATAGGGAAAAATATAATGCAGTAATGACTGGAGTTCCCCAAGATGCAGAATGTATTTTTTCTATGCTTGAACATGTGCCTTCAACACAGACCCAGAGTTCTGCAGCCCCTGTACTGCCTTTCTTCATGTCTTGCAGCCAAGGCTCAAGGTACATTACCAGAAATCAGTCCCTTGTATTTCCAGAGCCCAAGTAGGTGAGGCGCTTCAGAAAAAATGGTAAATGACAGGTTGCAGGCTTAGCACAGAGACAGGGCATCTCAGACTCTAACTAACTTGTGCATTTCTTATAAGGTTTGTCCACACCCAAGCCCTCTGTGACAGCATCCCAATGAGACAGAGGTAGGCAGAGAGGTTAGCTTCACATTTTCAGGATGAGAAAGATGTCCAGGTTGCAAAACTGGTTAGTGTCACTAGCTGCAATACTTGACAGCTATTTGTGTGTGATTTTTCCTCCCCCTAGAGTTGCCTCATTTACTCTGGTTCATGCTGTGGCAACCAATGCACATGTTGATGTCACATTGGGGTTTGCAACTCAAGCTAGACATTCAAGTCACTGGCACTGTTGGGATGGAGCTTGCTTTAACAGGATCCTGTGAAGTGCCTGGCCATTTGTTTTCATTTTGAATTCTTTGTACCATTTTTTAGAATCAAGATCCAGTTCTGCAAAATCACATTTGACTTCATAATGAAATTGGTTCAGGTCCAGGAAATTCCTTTTGAAAGAGGTTATTGCTTAAACCACTTAAACTGGTCAGATGTTAATTGTGTCCGAAATTGAGATTGAAAGTCCCGAAATTAAGAAGTCTGAAGTGGCACTCAAGGGATCCTGTAACCTGCTGGCACAAACTGCCTGTGATTCCCTTGAGACATCAGTGTACAGACTGACATTCCTATTCTTGAAGGTATGGGAGATTTAGAATTTACAAACAGGCATTTTTCCTATCTATAATGTTTTCCTAATGTGTGCCTATCACTGTCTGTGACTGCCCTATTCACAGGTATTGTAAAGTTTGCTGTTCACTGGGAGGATTGCTCTGGATGAGCAAAAGAAAGTTCTCTGTATCTAACCTCTCTTTCAAATTGGCAGGCAATACGTTGAAACTATAGTTAGCTCTATGACTAGAGCTCAGAGCTTGAGGCTATGAACAGAAGCAGCTTTGCCTTGAAACATCTGAAAGGAGGCAAGGTAGAGCAGGTACACTCTGCCCTTTTGTTCATGAGGAAGGCAGAAGTGATACACTGTGTGTATGCCCTGCAGGTAATCATCAGCCAAAAATGTGCTGAATTCAAAAAGGCTACTGACACTTGATGATGTGACCTTCCAAATTCTTTACTTCCTTTAATCATAATCATTTATTTTCCCCTGTAGCCCTAACTCTATTTGAGGAATTAATTATGAAAAGTTCCTATGATTTCACATCAGTTTTCCCCCGCCTCTTTAACCAGCTTAACCTCCACTCCGCTGGTAGTTCATCACTGTCTCACACTCCCTAGACTGAACATTTCAAGAGGTGAAAGAAAATAGAAGGGCTCGGCCATCGTGAACAAGATGGAACCGTTCCCACCCAACATTTCATTTTAGTGACTACTCCCCAAAACTCCCCTGGGAGCTTGAGTGAGGTGTACAAATTCTGCTATCCTGCAGAAGACAAGCCATTCTTCCTAAGGTGTCAGGAAAGTGAGGCAGGCATTCAAACAACCAATGGAAGCAGAGGCTACAAGTGGCAAAACAGCTGGCAAAATTCAGATGTCAGGTTGCTATTCAAAGCATTCCAGGTGCTACCCTGTCTACTTTTGATACTCTATTAATTGTATCTCACATCACTCAAACTGAACTCTCTTTCTTGCACTCCCCTCCCCCTCCTAACCAACTTCTTTCAAATCTCCCTGCCTCTCCCTTAGTTTTCAAATACTGTAAGAAATGATCACAGGTCTCACCTGTGACATTTTGCTTGGTTCCTTCAACAGGCTGCTCTTCCATAGGTTGATGCTCACATTTGCTACCCTTTAGATAACATCTACTTCCATAAGATAACCAATAGTTCGCTGGAAAACAGGAGACAAAGTCAAGCTGAGATCCTTGTTTCTCACTAAATTAGTCTTTTTACCCTTTATGAAGCTTTCTTTTAAAAGAAAACAAAAATATCTTTCAACAAAAAAACCCCAAAAAACTACACACACACAAAAAAAAATCAACCACAGGCTGATGAAGAGATGTCTAAAGCAAAGACCTGGACTAACAGGTCTGAGCGAACTAACGAATTATTCACGTAGGTGCACTGATTACCATTGACTAAATTGCATCACCAAAGAGAATGATATCAGAAAAAAGAGGGGGGATCAATTTTATGGAATTTGTCAGTCCTGTTGCAAGTAACAGCTCATCCTTGTCCCCCTAAAGTGTGTTCCTTATCTCTTACATAGGCCAATATATTCTAAGTAAAAACATTTAACTCACAGGAAAAAATCACACTTTGTGTCATGGCTTTAAAAAACCACAAACTTATTTAAGAGCAGTAACTTAGATCCATTCTCTGTATTTTTTCAAAATCAAAAAGAAACCTATTTTGGTCGAGTTCTGACTGATAACCTGGCAAAGTGTCTGCTGCTGCTCGGACTGCAAGTTTTCTGCAATATTTCCGGAAAAGTTATGAGTTCTCAATTTTTTCTGTTCCACTGCTATTTATGCTTATGTTTTTGGGCATACTCCACTAGACTAACTACTGATAAAGCATAAACTTCTATCTGGATATTAAGTTGCTATGGGGAATATTAAGAAGTTTCCAGTACACTCACAGGAAAAAATCTGCTTCAGTGTAGACTGGTACAAACTCAGTTGCCAAAGGTTGCACGTGAGTGCCTACATAAACACACACACGCACACACGCACACACGCACACACACACAGAAACAACACATGGGTGAGAATGAACTTCAAGAAGCAGATTGAGAAAAAAAACCAAAACCAAACCTGAAATGACTCATCGTTAATTCAAAATTCAAATTCAGCTTTCAACATTAGCACAGCAACTAACGTGATACTTTTCTATGTACTTTACCACTTGTCAAGTTTTCCAGATCTTCTTATTCAAACATATACCTAATACTGTTAATTTATTATAGCATTTTTTAATTCTTTTTAGAAGTGCAGCATATATAAGTCTTCTATTTTTTTAATACCATACATGTCTCATTCTAAACTTAGAGCTTTCCATAGCTGTCATTAAAAAGCACGTAGACAAAATATTTTATGGTATCTATAATAAATGCAAATAAATCAATACAAACAAAACTTGGCTTAGCAAACTGTACATACATAAATATGTTCTTTGTTTTTCAACTTGACATTCAACATTTTTCCTCATAAAACCTTTTATGATCTTATTTATTACATCCATTTTTTTAAACCTTAAAAAAGTGCTTCTCAGATTTACACCTTGTGCATCCAAAGCAAAAGTTAGAACATCATGCCCAAAACAGAAACCACAGGGAATAATACATTGCCATACAAGATCCTTTAAAATTTTATGTTACAAATGCTCTAAAATTTCCTTAGCATTGGTTATTTTGTATACCGTAGATACTGAGAGATTATTTAACAAAGAATGTCTAATGGCTCATTCAGAGCAGCACACAGGAAAGGATCTACAGTACCAAGTCCTTGGCTATGCATAGTACAGGGCAATGACCTGGATATAAAGTGGCTAAAAGATCCAGAATGCTGGACAGAAGGACATTTCCCTCACATATGTCACATCCTCTTTAGTACTCAGGATGTGAGTATTGAAACAATGCTACTCAGGTAATACATTGTGCAGTCTGATACTGATATACTGATGTGCTACTAGCTAAGTGCTAGCAGCCAATATGGACACAGCGGTGGCTACAGTAGGTAGGTAAAGCTGCCTCACTGAATCCTGTCACCATTTAAAACTGTCCTGCCTCCCAGCTAGCACTCCAGCAAGGTCACCTGATGTCTCACAGGTCTCCTTCATAATGGAGGTGGACCATTCATGTATTTTAGCATGGGGTGGAAAGAGCGGGCAAAATTGTTGGCCATAGTACAGCTGTAGTCCTCCTCAGTCATTGGCACCAAGCAAGCCAGCCCGATCAGGAGCAGCAAGAGGAGTTGAAGTGGCAGAGCAGCTCTGAGGACTCTGAGGAAGAAGGACGGGCGTTGCCACGCCGGCCCGGCCTCAGAATGGGAGGAACCTGAGCCACCTCTTGTGGACCTGAGAAAAGAGGATGGACAGGTGAATACACTAATAGACTACTGCAGCGGAGGTTGCCCTCAGGCACCCAGCCTTTCCTGAAGGCTGGTTTACAATTTGTATGGACTTTAACTGGCAACTACAGAGGTATTTTTCACTGAACATGCTATTTTCCTAACACTCTTAAGAGAACCTGTATTTCTAGATTAGGTAGGAAAACACCAAATGATCACAATAGAATGGGTTTTGTGACCCCACAGCCCCCTTTGTCAATTATGGAGAAGACTCCACTGAAAGCATTGTGCTCTAGAGAAGGGGAAAATAAAAGGTGGGCCATACCTGTCCTGGTCAATGCACACTGTATAAAAAGGAAGCCTCCTCACTTAAATTGACAGTTGCAGTTTGCAGGAGTTTCTACATTAATTTCCGTATATCGTATCCACAATTTTTTACAAAGTACCTTGTATTTTGAATCTTGCACTGAATCAGCAGTTAAAATCTATTTGCTCAACTGACTTGTTACCATCACCTTCCAAGTGATTTTCTCCTTTGTGTCTATGGATCTGACTTGAAATGGCACATATCTATCATAGGTCTATGAGAGAGGCAAGACCTCTAAAGGGACGCTTCAAATTAAGCACAAAAATCCAATCTACTTTTTGATGAAGAATAAAGACACAGATTTAACATTTTCCTCTTTGACCAAAACTGTCAAATATCTAATATATGGATGACAGGTTTTGAGATAGGTGGAATACTGAAAAGAGTGATCATGCAAGTTAAAATCTGATGTTCTCAGTGTGCTAATTAAATGGCATAGGAAAGTACTGTATTTTAGCACTAGCCAAAAATGGAAGAACTTAGAGCCTTCAAATAATTTGCTTCAAGAACTCTTCCATTAAGACATTAGGTCATGACTTTTGTCTTAGACATGTTGCTATAAAACATCTTAGTGCCTGCTATGATTATGAAGTCCCAGAAAATCTGTGGTTTTCTAGGGTTTAAGAGATAAAAATGCTGATAAGGATGAATTTAGTCTCAACCTGAAGGTGAGGGAGATCAGGCTTGCTGGTTGGGGTCAAATGTTCCCCAGTAAAGCAAGTAGGGGGTGATAGTTCCTTAGTCTCTCCTTGCCCTTTTGTTGTCCTTTTGATCATGTCTCCCAGATAAATCTGAATCTGTGTGAGAAAGCATGAAAAAAACAAAATACCATCTTCAAAACAATGCCAGGCTTGGCAAGGGTCCCCTTCCCACATGTTCAGAAAAGATTTATTTCTACGCTTGAGATTATTTTTACTGTCTTGTTCATATATGTGTAACATTCCACTAGGAAGACTTCAAGAAAGCCAGACAGATTTGGGTGAATTTTAGATGACCAACAGATACATAAACTCTCAGGTATGCTAAATTATTAACTTGACCTAAATATCCTAGGAAGCAGTGATGAACATAACATCAGCTCATATGTTGTTTGAACCCATGTTTTTGTAGCCTGGATGGAAAGCTGCTTATCGTATAATGTAAGATCACATATTACAAAGAACATATTGAAAGGATATGGCACATTTAACAGCATCAGAACATTCCATATTAAAGTTCAATTAGGTCAGGACTTCTACTGTCCAAGAATGCCAAGACAGAAAGTTAATGGACTGAGGTAGGAACAAAGGGAACAAAGAGTGCTTAATCACCTTCCAAGCATTTGATTGCATGGTCTACCTATTTACAGGACTCTCATTGTACAAATGTTGTTAATTCCAATCAAAAAAGGCCATATTTCTGCAGTTGGTAACTACTGTTTAATAGTGAGCAAAGTCTGAATTTTCTTCATTTACCCAGAGTTACTCTGGAGCAACACTGGGTGTCAGAAAGGAAATTTCCAAAAAGCATAATCAAAAGGGAGCAGGCAAAGTTAGTATCTAATTTTTCTTTTATTTTCCTATGGCTTTAGTAGCACAATCCAGCATTTTTGCTTTGTGTTTTACTTAAAAAAAAAAAAGAAAAAAAAAAGAAAAGAAAATCAGTGGAATGTGTTAGCTGCATGGCTGATCTCAACAAGGAACACATTTTTTTCAAAAATTAAAACAGTTCATGGCAAAGTTTTTCAAAACAGTTTCTGCAGTGAAGTAGGATGCTGAAGAATAGCTTCTATTATTGCATGGAAATAATTAAACAAGAAAATTATGAAACTTTATGAAAACATTTTCGCAGGGGGCATTCTAAAAAGTTCAAGTGCTGTACTGCCTGTTTATTGCAGATATGGCTCTGAAATCTACATAACTGGCTGAAAAATTGAATGGCTCAGCTTAGGGAGTTTAATGGATTTGGTAAGGAGAGATGGTTAAAAATACACATTGCTAATAAAAAGGCTCACTATTCATATGGACCAGAACTCCTATTTACCCCAGCAAGAGAAGGGAAAGCTGAATTACTGTATGTCACTTTGGAGAAAAATGTAATTTCTTTTTCTTGAGCTTGTATCTTTAGCTACCTCCTGACTGCTCTACCATTTCCCACACTGGCCCCTGTTTGAGAAGGGAAGGAGGTAAAGCCATCTGCTACCCGCTCCATACACAATTCCTGCTAACTAGATAAAAGGGAGAGGCGCAGCTGCAGACCTTGCCAACAGTAAGCTTCTTCATGCCAAGAAATCTCATAAATTAACCTAAGAAGTGCAAGCAATAGTTAACCTTACTTTGGGAGTTTGTAATGTCATTGAAATTGGAACTCTTTCCTAAGCATTTCAAGAGAGGAGAAGCTAATTTACCAGGCTATAGATCGGACGGGCAAAGTGAACTTTAATTTCAGCTCAGATGAGTATCTTCTTCTAAAGATGACTAAGTTGTTTTTTTTTTTTTCAAGGAAAATATGGTTGAAGTAATCTATCTGTATTGCAGTGAACATCTGTAAGAGTATAACAGAAGAATTTCTCATTCAAGCAAAGCTGATAGGAATAAATAAGGTGAGTTTAATGGGGAATTGACTAATGGAACGCAGAGAACAGGCGTACATTGAAAGATGCACTGCTGGGCTAGTAGGATATTATTACTGGAGTTAATCAAGGATGAGTCATGATTTAATATCTTTATGAAAAGACTATGGCACAAAATATAAAACCAGCAAATTTCATCTGTATGACGACAGAAGTTGGAAGTCTTTGCAAACACAAAATAGGACTGGTTTCTTGCAGAAA